GCTATATTCTTCTCTCAATTTCACCTCACACTACCTACCTACCACTACTCCTAATTGTAGGCATACGGGGAACCCCGTAGCAGCCAGAACCGTGTTCACGAGAGAACATGCGGGGGCTGCTCCCGACCTCCAGGTGGGCGATACCGGCTAGGGGACAGCCGGTAGCATCAGGGACCATGCCAACAGGACCAATCCCTGTGCCTCCCCTCAGGTCCCCTCCCCTATGAAAAAAAAGAAATTCGGCTCTTGGTCATGGCATGATTGGTTGCAACGGCAGATCACTCCCCTTGATTGGTGTGGGGGGGCAGGGGGGAGAATCTTCAATCTCCACCCCACCTTTCTTTTTCAAATGCTGGTTGGATTGGTAACGAAAATCGACTTTTGGTCTTGTCATGATTGGTTGCGAGGGGGGCTCACTCGCCTTGATTGGTGTGTGAGGGGGAGAATCTCCAATCTCCCCCCCACCTTTTATTTTTTCGTTTTTTTTTCAAATGGTGGTTGGATCGGTAAGGAAAATCGACTTTCGGTCACGGCATGATTGGTTGCGACGGCGGATCACTCGCCTTGATTGGTGTGTGTGTGGGGGAGGGGGGGGGGAGAATCTCCAATCTCCCCCCCCACCTTTTTTTTTTCGTTTTTGGATCGGTAACGAAATTTGGCTTTTGGTCATAACATAATTGGTTGCGATGGCGGATCACTCGCCTTGATTGGTGTGTGTGTGTGTGGGGGGGGGGGAGAATCTCCAATCTTCCCCCCACCTTTTTTTTTTTAAATGCCGGTTGTATCGGTAACGAAAATCGACTTTTGGTCTTGTCATGATTGGTTGCGACGGCGGATCACTCGCCTCGATTGGTGTGTGAGGGGGGAGAATCTCCAATCTCCCCCCCACGTTTTTTTTTCGTTTTTTTTTCAAATGCTGGTTCGATCGGTAACGGAATTCGGCTTTTGGTCACGGCATGATTGCTTTCGATGATCACTCGCCTTGATTGGTGTGTGTGTGGGGGGGGAGAATCTCCAATCTCCCCCCCACCTTTTTTTTTCAAATACTGGTTGGATCGGTAACGAATATCGACTTCTGGTCTTGTCATGATTGATTGCGAGGGGGGTTCTCTGGCCCGGTGGATTGGTATGCGTATGTTTGTGTGTGTGTTGGGGGGGGGGGGGGGGGGGGGGGGGGGGGGAATCGTCATCCCACGACCCCACACACGGGTGTCGGGGATCCAGCGTCCCCGCAACGCCCTGCTGGCGTCGGGGGGTCAGGCGTTTCCGAAACGCCGGACCCCCGCCACCCGTGCTGGGCTCGGGGGTCCGACATATCTGGAACGCCGGACCCCCGACACCCGTGCTGGGGTGGCGGGGTCCGGCGGATTGGGAACGTCGGACCCCCGACACCCGTGTTGGGCTCGGGGGGTCAGGCATTTCGGCAGCGCCGGACCCCCGCCACCCTTGCTGGGGTCGGGGGGTCTGGCGGATTGGGAACGCCGGACCCCCGCCACCCGTGCTGGGGTCCGGGGGTCCGGCGGATTGGGAACGCCGGACTCCTGACACCCGTGTTGGGGTCAGGGTGTCCGGCGTTTCGGAAACGTCGGACCCCCAACCCCAACACGGGTGGCGGGGGTCCGGCGTTCCCGAA